TATTGGTTAACAATCGAATCATTAAATTAACTATTAGAACTCAATATACTCGTATATTTATATCTATTTATATCTTCTACTCGTTCATCACTCTTCCACCTTTCTAAATTTCACAAAACGCAATATTGTTCATATAAATAAAAATACATATTAAACGCCTTTCTCTTTAATCATTCGTGCTCGATACACGTCTCTCCCTATATTTCTAACATCGGTGTCCTTTCGAACAAGAACAAACGTTTCGAAGAAAATTTCAAGAAAATTCTCGATATCTGTTATCGTAATGGCCACCCCCTTCCCCCCTCGGTTGAATAAATACGAGGAGAGAGATATATCGGCTACCTCGGGTAGACAAAAATAGAAGGACTCAAAGAGCGTTTCCTTCCTTCCTCCCTTCCTTCTATTATCCTTGGCGTCCTCATATCCAATCGTGGCAGGCTTTTGTCATTTTACACACGGGAGCAAGCGAAAGGATCTTTCCGCAACGAGAGGTAAAAAAAGGGTGGATTTCACAAAAGAGCGTCGGATGACTGTCTTCCGTGGAAGATCGGTTTCCTTCGAAGCTCTCCCTCTTTTCGAGGGGATATAAATATATGCGATACACGCGAAATTCTCGCAACCCAAGGAAGGAAATATTTAGAACCAGGATTTTAAACTGCGTGTTGTCTTGTTGTAACGAAAGTATTTATTATTATTATTATTTCTTTTCTTCCATAAGGATAAGAAGTGATTTTTGGATTGTGATATTTCAAGCAATTTTATAGAAATTACTTTGTGTATTTGTTGGGGAAAGTTAATAATTAATCCGAAGAAGAAACGAAAAGTGGATGGTTTCGTTACCTCGTTTCTTAAGTTGATCCTCGACCACCACGGCGGAGATCATGAAGACGTTGCCAACGCTGCCACCGACAGCCATCGACGCCAACAAGAGGAGCCTCGCCACCCTGGACCACGCGGAGGACAGTGTGACCGGGGAAATATCAAGGTCGCTGTCCACGCTCCCCGCCTTATCCATCCTTGACTCGAGCCCCATAATTCCAGCCAACGTGCTGCTCGTGTAAGTCGTAGCGTTCATCCTGGAACTAGAAAAAAGAAATTCCATTTTTATCTTTCATTAACCTAATTTAAATTTTTTACTTCTGGAGCTTGTATAGGTATGTATAATTTTTTAGAAGGAAGTTTTCAATAGAGCCAAAATTACTCGAATTTTTTTTTTTTTTAGAACTTCCATTTTTATCTTTCACTAATTTAAATTTTTTACCTTTGGAAATCCAAGCATGATAATTGTATAGATATGTATAATTTTTGAAAAGGAAGTTTTTAATAGATAGATCCAAAAATTACTCGAATTTTTTTTTTAGAACTTACATTTTTATCTTTCATTATTCTAATTTAAATTTTTTACTTCTGAAGCTTGTATAGGTATGTATAATTTTTTAGAAGGAAGTTTTCAATAGAGCCAAAATTACTCGAATTTTTTTTTTAGAACTTCCATTTTTATCTTTCACTATCCTAATTTAAATTTTTTATTTCTGGAGTTTGATAATTGTATAGGTATGTATAATTTTTGAAAAAGAAGTTTTCAATAGATAGATTCAAAAATTACTCGAATTTTTTTTTAGAACTTCCATTTTTATCTTTCATTATTCTAATTTAAATTTTTTACTTCTGAAGCTTGATAATTGTATGTATAATTTTTTAGAAGGAAGTTTTCAATAGATCCAAAATTACTCGAATTTTTTGTTTAGAACTTCCATTTTTATCTTTCACTATCCTAATTTAAATTTTTTATTTCTAGAGCTTGATAATTGTATAGGTATGTAATTTTTGAGAAGGAAGTTTTCAATAGATCCATTTTTTTTTTTTTTAAATTTTTACTTTTATTTTTCACTAATTTAAATTTTTTACCTTTGGAGATCCAAGCATAATTGTATAGGTATGTATAATTTTTAAAAAAGAAGTTTTCAATAGATAGATCCAAAAATTCTTACTCGAATTTTTTTTTTAGAACTTGGTGAATTATCGTAGCCAGAAGCTGTAATTGAAATTTTTGAAGCATCGATGAAGTTCAAGGCACGAGGCTCAAGGAAAGGTTGAATTATTCGTGTCGGTGTATGCACATATTAATTTGGAACTGAAACGCAAGAGTTCATCTTGAGAAGAAAAATTTTCGACGAATAAGAGGGTCGGTCGGTTTTTTTTTAAATAAAAAATTTTCTTTGTTTAGAAAGGCATGAAGTAGGGACACGCGAGATTAAAAGAAAGTAGAAAGAATGGAAGAGGCAAAAATGAAATCGTACAAAGCATGGTATCGTAGTTTTTAATTAGAGAGGGTAGAAAACTGTAAAGGGATGTTGCCCAATAAAGTCACCACTTATATATATATATATATATATATCGATACAAAATTCTACAGAGCCACGATGTGCACAGATGTTTCAAACGTATTAAAAAATACTTCATCACTTTATGGGCAAACGAAATGGCCGTTTTACGGAGAGTAATACTGATTTTTTTCATCGTAAAAAATGCGTTTGGACGTCGAAATGATTTTTTGATAGAAGATCATTAAATATTCAGAAGCAAGAAAACAATTGTTTTTTTAAAATTTCAAAATTTTGGAAAGTTTAAAAAAAAAAGTTATCAAGAAAATTTTAATAATTTTAATAATCAATAAATATGATACTATTAACTGGATAAATAATATTCATAGATATTACGTATTGATAATTAATTTATCTATTATTTCATCTGTTAAAATTTAAAACGCATAAACAAGCATAGAATTCGATTAAAATTAATCTAACAATGTAACAATTTAACGTAACATTTGAACTGAAACAACAATAAAAATGTCGTAGACATAAAAAAGAGACATAAAAAGGAGGGCATAGAATAAACAGGAAAATAAACGAAGAAAATTCACAAAGACGTAAGGAAGGATGGATAAGATAAATACGAAAAATTAGCGATAGAGGGCGCATAACCTCTGCTCTTTTACCATCCTCCATTTCCTTTTCATACGCGCACGGTTGAACGAACGACTGAAAGGACATTGTTCTTTCCTTCCTTTCATTCTTTATTTCTCTTCTAACCTCGCTTCACAGAAATGTTTCCGTAAAACTGTCTCTCTCTCTCTCTCCCCCCCCCTCTCTCTCCCTCCCCCCTCTCTCTCTTCTCGTTCGCTCGCAATGGGAGAAAAATGGATAGAAACGTTTGCTGAAAATTTCAACGTCCATAAACATCGATGGAAACAAAGGGTTACGTTTACACATGGTCCATTCACTGGCCTCGAAATTGGCCAGGTCCCAGCGCAAACAGATTTAACTTTGCACGGTTTAAACCCAGGAGCCACCCCTCTTTTTCGAACGCATCCCATGGATGCAATTAGCGAGCATCCGTTCCGATGCAAATTCATCCGATGAAATTTTGCGGAGACGGAGCCATCTGCGCGCCATCTATATCGACCGTTCTTACGGTGGATCGATTCTCGCTTTTCTGATATAACCTCGCGTAATCGTACCGATTGAGAAGTCTTTTCGATTGGAAAATTCGTTTTATTCGTTCGAATCGCGTGTGAAAAAATTGGAAAAGGGGAAATTAAAAAAAAAAGAACAAGGATGATTCGTAATTCGATATTGTGTCCCGTTCAAAGTTTAAGTTGCAAATAATAACTATTGAGGATATGTAAAATAATGTTTCTATGAGAATCATTGAGATATCTTGTGCAGAACGACAATTGAACGAATCAAGAATATATTGGTAAATTTAATTTGGTAGGTTGGTACTTGGGAATATTATTATCAAACGTTGGCATTAATGCCAACTTCATTTAACTAAATCACTCTTAGAAATTCATTAGTGAATCGTTTGTTGTTTATTTTTTTGTGTATATATATTTATATAAGTGTATATATATTTACTTTTTCTTTTTCTCGCCAATGTATAAATAATAAATCGCAAGTATATAATATCTTTAAGTATATAATAATTTTAATTGCAAGGTATTGATCTGTTAAGAAAGATTATACACTATTTCAATAATAATCCTTGGCAACGATCGGTTTACAATCGCTCGTGTCGTAAATTTTTAGAATCGTATCCTCTGTGATATAGTCGTATGCTTTTAACGTGATGCGTCGTTTCATTGTTACGATATCGTGTTCCTGCATCTTGATAGGTTAAAAATGCGATCTGTCGTTAGGTTTATGAAAATCGAATTTTTATGGAAGAAATGAAGCTTAAACAGGGATTTGTTTTATTCCTCGAATATTATTTGAGTATTTTATTATATCTTTTCGAATATTCTCGTTCTTACGTTCGATATTCTCTATTATTTTATCGAGTAATTTTTTACTCGACTCGATTTTTATTTCGAATAATTATTATACAGGATAGATTTAATTTAAACGTATCCGTGCGTTTATTTAACGAATTATTTCTTCGTGAAAGAGAATGAAGATAATTTAATTGTTGTAATGACGTACCATTAGATGCAACGTAATTATTCATAATTAAAAATAAGATGAAAAAATGTTTAAATTAATAAAATATTTAATTTGGTAAAATAGGAAGGAGGAAAAGATAATTAAAATATAATATTAACGAAAAATAATACGGATGAAAATTAATCAAATGCAAAATTAACAATTAAATGAAAAAAAAAATCCTCGGAATATTAAACGATATATTATCAAGTATTAAAGTAAATAAAAGTATCGTTGTTGTTTAGCGTGTAACGCAGTAAAAATTGTACGTACGTGAAAGAAAAAAGAAGCTCGTTTTATTTCCAGACTGCTTGTCTGAAATATTTCACACTTGTTGCGCTCTTCTTAAATAGCCAAACTTCTCCCCGATTGCTTCAAAGTTAAAATAGAATGGAACGTTATATTTTTGTATACTTTCAACAAACAGATGTACTTAATTCAACCGGCCAATGGAGCAATAATTTTCTTCTGGAATCTGTTTCGTTTCTTCAGCTTTATTTCGAACATAACTCGATGAATTATTAATTCAGTATTGTCACGAATTGTTATTGTAACGTAATAATATTTATAATTATTATAAATATTTAATAATTATTAGGAAATAATAATTATTAATAATTATTTATAACATCGAGTACAATTTTTTTTTATAGAAATTTATTTAGTTACTTTTTTCTTTTTTATAACTACGATTAAACTGGAAATAAAATACTTTTCAGCGGATATCCGATCCTATAGTTACATCATCTATAATTTTCAGTTTAAATTCAATCTCCTTTTTCCTCTTTTTTCATTGTTTCAAAAAAAGAAAAAGAAAAAATGTATCAAATGTATCATTCGTAAATTTGAATTCTATAAAATTAATTATACGTTCTATCGTTTATAATTTATAATCACACTTACAATTATTACAATTCTTTCTGTATATACCGATTTACACGAAGCAATTTCACCTCGAAAATTATTTCCCAATACACGGTGCCAATATCCAAATATCATATCCCTTTTTTGTATTGCAACGGACAATTTCAATCCATCCTGAATGAAGATTGTCGTCCGCCATTTTATGGAATCAATTTATAGAAATTCGAAAGGCTGGCGGCGTAGTTTTATCTTCAAAAATATCGGCAAAAATGGACAATGGGGAAACCTCGACGATCGGGAGTCGAAATCGAACGCTGGATTCGAGGAAGGTGCGTGCAAGGTGTCGAAAAAAGGGAGGGGATAGGAGGAGGAAGAGGGAGGGGGAAAAATGAAAAATTCACGGGCTTTGTTCCGACGAGCATGACTCGATGGTGTTGGGATCGGTTTACGTTTCACAGGAAAGGTGGGAAACCCGCGCTACAGCTTTTTATTACGCGGATATTGGGTTTCATGGGATCGATGATGAGTCCTGAGATCCATGAAGTGGAAAGTGCATGTAATTGATCGTATTCCTTGTGTGTTTAAGTATCGTTTTTATATTGTATTAACGTATTCGACTGTTTGGAATTGTGAGGTTAGTTTTTTTTTTCTTTTTTAATTTAATAATTTGGAAAAAAATTAACCTTTGACTCGTCATTTTTGATATTTTCCCGATGTCGAGGGAAAAATTGGAATTTTTTTTTTGTAAATAACAAGAAGAATTTGTTAATTTGGTAGGAAATTAAATTTTAATTTGAAAAAAATTAGAAGTGTTATTTTTATTTTTCATTATTGAGGAAAATTTGATACTTTTTTCTGACTCTTTTGATTTTTCATTGACACGTTGAATAATATAATAATAAATTTTCGCATATTAATTTATCAAATTTTGATATATTGTGTTTACCTTGAAATTGTTGACACCTGCTTCGTGCAGAATTCTCATTTTTTGTCTAATTTATTTTTTCATTTAAATATGGCGTCAGAAGGTAGGCAAGAGATTAATGAATTCAGCCTGCTCAATTCTTTTATCCATTTTCCAACGAAACGAATTATACATCGATGTTGTAAAATATTTGAAAGAAATAGTAAAAAATTTCATTTTCTCGAATTTAATTAAAAAATGCGTGCGATAATATTAGAATATATTTATTTGGAATATATTACTGGAATCAAAAATAATTAAATCACAAAATATTTCGAGGCAGGCATTAATCAATGAATGAGATGATTAATGAAAATAAGAGAAGACAAATAAATTTAGAACGATATCCATTTGTCGATATCTTGAATAATGATTAATTTTACGTAATAAACGTCCGTTTCTCGAGACTGATTAAAGGAAAGCCGATTATGGGGACAAGTGTTGTCTGCCTATTAATTCGGATAATCGACGGTCCCACCGTAGTTAATAACCATTGTTCATGGTAATTGGAACCGCAGATCTCCGTTCAATCACAAAGGGTTTCAAAGCACAAATGTCCACATTAGCCTCTGTCAAAGATTCGATGCATTAAAAGAGACAGCAGACAATCCATCCACATAATTTGCAAATATTTCTCTAAACTGAAATATAAGAATTATATTTATATAATATAAGAATTTCAATTCTAATTGATATATATATTCATATTCTCAAAGTCTTCAAGATTTTAAAAATTAAAATTAATTACAGTTTTTCAAAATTTAGAATGAAACAGGATGTGAGAAACAAGAAAAAGACAACAGACAATCTATCCACGTAATTTGCAAATATTTCTCTAAACTGAAATATAAGAATTATATTTATATAATATAATATAAGAATCTGAAATAGAGGATAAGAATTTCA